GACACGACGTGACGTTGATCAAACGGATATATGATAATCAAAGTAACGACGTCTTTGAATTAAAAATCAATTTATTATACATATATTATATAACAATGGAATACGAACGATATTATATTTCATTGACACGTGATCTTGAGATTCGTTACGTGATTTGCGAACTATTCCAACGGAAAATTAAATATATACAAGCATTAACAAAACACGATGCAGTCTGCTCGTTTGACATTTTGTGGTCGTTACAGTGGGGTAAGACACGGCTCACGAACTAGAGAAATGAACTTAGGTATTTGAGAATATAAAATATATTACCACTATCATTGTTGAATTAACAAAGTTAGCTGATAGTGTTTAAAACCTACGTGATATAATAATTTGAATGTAACACATCTTAGTGTTATATGTCCACAAACTTCCTATACTAAAGTCTAATGTTTGACATTAAACGCTCCCGGCCTATAGCGCATAGCCGTGACATTTCGTGTTTCTGTACATTAGCATCAGCTACACAGGTAGCGTGATGATACAACATTACTGATTGGACCTTGGGTACATTAAAGTTCGGGACCAGTTTAGAACTACGAAATATTTTATGGAGATAATATATAAGAAACGTCAGTGGTGGCCTAGTGGTTAAAAAGGCCCGCTCTCATGCACGAGGGCGCGGGTTCGATCCTGGCCCGTGCAAGTACCAATATGATTTTTCCGAGTCATATTTACTTTCCAAGAGTATTTAGACATCACTGATTAATACATTCCCAAAGAGGGTTGATGTTAGGCAGGCAGCCCGTCGTAAAAACAATTAGCCAAAACTATTCACAACATGTAAGGCAGACCCTGGCTATAGTTGGGAAATTACCAGGTAGAAGAAGATAATATATAAAAAATGTAGAATGAGAGATCAAATAAGGAATGATCTCTTTAAATGTCGCGAGTATAAAGAACAGATCTCGTGTTGATGCTGTGTATCAAATGTCAGAGACAGCACCTTGAGCAAGGACCTCGGTCTCAATTCTATCAGACATCACTGCCGATAAAATACAAATAACTATCAAAGGATTCTCATCTCATTCTTGTTTAATACATTTAATTAACAAGTCAGATTCGCAAAAAAATACAGTATTTTTAAAGAAGTTCATAGTTTTTTTGATATTAATGTACAATAAGCAAAACATGTATCATAATTAGAGTGTCCAGAACACGAGGAAAAATATGATTCACGGAATTCAAGAATCAGGTAAATGTAGATATTTTATTAATAAATATTTTGTAACGATAGGTGGCGAGCATCAACACAGACTTATATTACCATATACGGCGTGTCAGATAGTTATCTGATTAGAATATTATTGGAAGACATGTGATGAACGAGGTCGGACCAATGTGAACAGATAATGTGAAGCATAAAAAACGTGAATTATCATATAGTAATTAACATCGGGTCGAGGCCTGGCTGCTGGGTAGGTCTATCTACTGCTGACCGACACACTTCATCCTTACAACCATGTGAGTGTATGTGAGTGACGTCAGTCAGTGATGACGAGTCCGGGCCCTATCCTAACTACACATAGTGTCAATCTCTATGAGTGTAGAGCATTTATTTTTGTTAATATTTTTATATATGTTTGTGTGTGTGTGTGTGTGTGTGTGCGTGTGTATGCAAGCAGTTTTCGTTAAGTTGCGCAATAAAAGTTATCAATATTTTAGGTAAGATAACCTCTTGTGTTATTTTCACGAGTGCGCCACGTGCACTCTTAATGTAAACAATGTCACGTTTTACGAGAGGTATTTATAAAATATTTATATAACATAATATCAGCGTTCAACAATCTGTATATATTATATATTTCTTAATATACCTACCTATTATATATATATGATAACTTTGAGTGTATTTGTCAATAGTTGTTATGATAACGTTATCTCAGTACATTTTGAAAGCGAACTATATTCAAAGATGACCTTCTGATGCTGGTGTGAAGACCAGATCTTCAGTTCCCATCAACACGTTATCTATGAGGTATTAGTTCTGCATGTGACCTTGGCAGTCATTGAAAATACCTAAAGCGAGCGACACGCGCGAGTATCGATCGACACGGCGCCGCTAGTAATGTAACATACTGCTTGATTTATTATCGGGCTCATTGTGAAATGCCATACAAATTATATGTTTTTATCGCTGCAACGAAAAACACGCTCATTTAGAGGTCTTGGCATACATGTGTAGCGTTCACTATAGTTCGTATTAGATGTTTGATGTTACAGATAGTAAGGTGATGAAAGGACTTTTTTTTGTCACTAGAACTGTTCTTAGACTAACAGCATTACATAACACTAGTACTGTTGACGCGGTTTCGTCTGTGATGAAATAGAGGAGGCTCTAGTATTAATAGGCATGAAAAAATATAAGTATTTATATTCGATAGAAGAGTATGATTCCTTCGAACCAGGCGTCCGATGATGATTATATTATGTATTACATAAATATATACATGTGAGCCGCGCGAATGTTAATATTTACTCGGAACGGAAAATTTCGAAGAGCACTTTAAACTGGTCGAGGCGGTCCGCGTTCCACCAGCTGAATGGTAATGACTTGTTCTCTTATATTGAATGTTTGAATGATTTGTTTGGAGACGGTATCATATTACTTATATTAAATTATCATTATCATTATGAGTAATTTAACAATAATGTGATTTTTGATCGGTCGTCATGCAGAGGTTATTGTGTCGTTTATTTAAGAGCATAGCCCGCGATGCCGCGTGGTGTTGTGGTGGCGTGGCGGGTGGCGGGTGTTGCACTGACGTCAATCTCGTCTATTTCGGTAATGTTCCTGTGTATCGGAGTGTTATTTACCACGGGCCGATGTGTTGTATACATCGGAACTGTTATATTATAACATTTAGGTGTAACTAGCTCAGTTCCGTGTTATTTTACGAAATAAGATAGTGAATATTTCTAACAAAGGAATAGATGAAATACTTATAGGATTATCATGAGGTGGAAGCAGGAGAAGGTCATAGTGAGAACTCCTCATATTATTACCGATGCAAGGGAATGCTTAATTCCAATCTATGATCAAACAACGCTCATGTGACCATCAATCGATCATCAAAAGATTATTATGATAATCGACTTATAACTTTGTCTGTTTTATCGCGCATCCTGTTTATTAATGCATTTAAACAGCCGCTTATTAATCAACTAATTCACCCAGCACTGTATTCTTTATATATATAATGTTCTGTGTTTCAGAGTCTCCATTGACGTGTGTCAGTTCACTGCCAAGGCTCCCGCGTCACGGCTCGCTCTCACACGCGCTCGTATCAATTGATGTTCTATTAATACATACTCACTGTATTTATAAAGACACTCATACTTCTCACTATACATATACGACTGTTCATATACTATGCTTGACCCGTGGCTTTGTTTGTTAATGTGCCTTAACTGATGGTGTGATGAAGTTGTTAATCATTTAGTCTGCGTTAAGCCACTATGTCAAATGGAGGAAGGAAATGGAGGAATGACTTAATTCTCAATCTATAAAAATGTATCTAAATATTAAATACTTTCACTTTCGTAACTAAATACCCTGAATAAGTATAATTTAATTTCTCAGTAAACAAAATCTATAGCTACCTGCTACTACCGTTATAAACTCAAATATAATAGACGTAGTATTATTCGTTGTATTAAGAGCACACCGCTCCAGTTAGTAGTAAATTGAGAGACTGCAGTAAAATATATTGGTGCAACAAAACCTCAGTACGGCGAGTTCTTGGAATCAACAATACATACAGCTATTATGAACAGACTCGTCTTTAGTAAGTGTCAAGCTGTCGACGGTCACTTTCATGTCTCAAAACATTATTTATAACATATAATACAGTTTTTGCAGGACGTCCGTCCGTGTAGTTGTTTATGAGGCTTTTACTTTCGCTATTGCTTTTTGTTTATGATTTAAACCGTTTGAAGTTTTCGAAATTTCTAGTTTTATGAATGCATCTCTTCACCCGTCTCCTTTACCTATTCTTCAGGTTCTAGGATGCAACAAAGACTTGGTAGTGTGTTTAAGACGTGTGGTTAAAGTGAAAACAACACTAGCTGACCGACGAGGAAGATGAGTCACAGTTATATAACGACATTACGGAGAGGCTTGTGTAACGAAAAGCTGATATAACGACTCATGTGACGGAACGGAACAAAGGAAATTATACATATAACGAATAAGGAGGAGTCCTAGGTTCACATACACTGACTAGACTAGACAGGGTTGAGATATATGTAAGATTCATCTTAATTTTGGATCATCAACGTATGATTACTTAGTCTAGGCTTTAAAGAATCTCGTGTAGTTTCAAGAATACATCGCAGAAAAAATTTAGTTATTATAATCTAATAATTTATAAGGCAGGTTTACGAAAGTATTCAGAACTATAGTAGAAGTTATGTGTGTATGTCTGTGTATCGATGGGAATGAAGTGGCAACCGGAGGCCCGGATCCGGCGAGCGATTAGAACTTACTTATAACAAATAGAGTTAAATGAACTCCGCAAATATATTGAACACTAACAGAGAGACATAACGTGCGGTACAGAGTAGTGATCTGTTCGACGTGAACAATAAACAGATAGTTATTAGTGATGTTTGAGATAAGGTCGCGGGGACAGTGGAAACACGCCCCGGACACGGACCGGCCGCGTGACACACGTGGACACAGTTCACAGTTAATGTTTACTATATACATGATGAGTTACTATGATAGGACCCTACTGGTGACGCTGTCAAAGGCATTAGGGCTAAAAACAACTGTTAAACGAAAACAATATGAGATTACTGATCTTTTACTTTTACCTTCATCACAGAACATGTGATTGATTTTGAACGAAACGTACGATATCTGTAGGGCCAGGTTATGACAGCTATGACTCAAATTAATTATTAGTATTGCAAGTCTGTACATGTAACTGTATAGGTATAAAGTTTGTTGTAACATGCTGAGTGTTCAGGGGGGGGCTCCATCAGTATGTGGTCCGAAGCCCGAGGCCGGACCCCGGAGCCCGGGTGTTCGTAGGCGAGCCACGTCCCCGCACTACGTCATTGATATACAGAACAAGCACCACACAGGGACGGACTCAATACACGTTAACAAACTATTAACCACTATTGAGTTAAAATAATCATATCATCTTATGAAGCAAATTATTTTAATATGAGTATCAAAATAGCCTGATTAAGAAATGTATATTTTTTTATGTTGATTAAGAAAAAATAAAATGTGTCAGGTCAATAGAATAAAAGTAGAGTGAGAGCAAAGAAAACTAACAAAATATTACATGTAGGGAATTTAAATATATTTTTGTTAATAAATAAGTTTATAAAACAATCAAAGAAAACTAATTCAAGGAGATCTAAGACTTTCGACAGTATTTATTTATAGGAAAGTAATATTTTACGGATTTATTTTAACGTTTCGGTTAATTTTCAGCAACCGTGATCATGGTGAGAGATGTTTTTTTTTCTTTTAATAATAATATTCATTTAATAACTTAGAACTAATGTATTGAAGTTTGTGTAAATATAAATAATCACATTAAAATTATAATTTCAGTCCGTGTGTCGCGAGGTGACACTGATAGTGTTCTGATAAGATCCGCGGCCTAGTGACATTACTTATTACGAGGAGTGACGCACGAGGGGCTCCGTGTTGTGGGGGTACTTCACGCTCCACCGCTAACAGACAAACGAACAGCCAGTGACGCACGAGCTCACTATACTTGTATAACGATCTAATAAAACATAATACGATTATTAAATATCACCTGTTCAACGGATATATGGAGTTTTATTACATAGAATTATATTTATTTTGAACGAAATATTAGGTTCAGATTGATGTCTGGCTGATCTGGCTTCAACGAAAAATAAATGATAATACATATTATGGTAGCCACATCTAACAGCATCCAGTTGTTTCTGAAGACTTTATCTCGTATAATCATCGGATGTTAATTTGAGTAATGTTCATTAAAGGTGGAGGCGTTTGTTTATTATTCAGCCATCAAATCGGTCGTGTGTAATGAACTGCCAACTGCTGGAACCTCTCCAAGATGACTATTATTTCATAATAGTTCTGTATCATTGCAGAAGAGTTTTCTTCGTAAGTTCCCTTCTTTTTATTAGTATGTTGAGTCGTGTCTGTTCCCAGTCCCTCCCTGGTAACTATCATCACATATTCTGTCCTCGTACTATGTGAGGGCGGAGGGGCAGATGCGTTCTAGTAAATCGTGATCCGAAACCTGACCCCTCTCCCTCCCCCTCCTGTACCGTTAAACGTGACTTCCATTATCATTATAAATCGTTAATACATATATTTTTATGTGGATCGCACAAGTATAAGATGTCGAGTGGATCGAAAATATACATAAGGTATATGACTCAATCTCAGGAATGTATATGTATAGAAATAAGAATAGACCGAAGTATACACATTTAAACTGTTATCTTAAGCATTTAATCGATCGCTTCGTATCTTTAGTTTTATAAACAAATTATATTTAGGTCTGCATGTGGGTTACTCGATGCAAGAATTACTGAATGGATTCTCTTACAGTTCATGTGGCCTCTGAATAGGGTATACATATTGTATATAAGACTAATTTATAAATATATATTTATAGTCAGAGATAAACCTGAAGGAAGCTGCTGGATATAACATAGATATTTGTATAAGTTCCAGGTCAGATAATTTGATAAACATCTAAATTCAGAGAAAGCCGACACATGTTTAGACGTATCCCGTGTTGTGGGATAACTATATTACGTACAGTTAGTATTGAATCATGAACTGTTAAGGCATGTCCACACTGCACGCGTGAGCGCTCGTCGCGGGCGGGCGCGGGCGACACGCTCCGCGAGTCAAGCGCGAATTATGCGCTTTCTAAAGTCATGCTCGGCGGAGTGACGACTGACGAGAGCAGCCAGATGGTGTCATCATTACCAACGACAGACGTCCAGACGGGAATGACTTTATTAAAGTTAATTATATCTATTATTGTAACACGCACCAACAGATCCACGAGCCTCGGAGTTAGACTCGTGGAGACGCGTTCCACTGACCAATTGTTAACAAAATGACACGCATACGACGGACAAAGTAGAATAGTAATGAGACTCGATGCTAGATTAATTTAATTTATAGTCTTTTTAGTATCGGTCGTACCGACAGCTTTGTTAAAAACGAACTTTCTACTTAATTTAATTAGTACAAGAGTTTATTGTTTGAATGCGTATTGTAACACTAATAATGAAAACAATTCGTGAATGTTGTGAATCAATTAAAACGTACCGGTTTAAAAGCGAGTTTCGATGCGTGAAAAAACAAAGGGTAATAAAAACGTGCTCCGAATGAGAGTCACGGTGTCGGCGAGCGGAACAGTCACGCGGCGGCCGAGCGGCGGACGAGCGGCGGCAGAGCGGCGTGCGAGCGTCACGCGTCGCCGGACAGGCGTTCGATGTGAACACGCCTTATAATTTGCATAATGCTTCACTTGTAACAGACTCAGAGCGGAGATCCTCACTTCGACCGGCCTCTTATTTCCATTCCACGGTCTGACTAAATTATTTGTAACAAAATTCTCATGTAGACTTTCTAAATATGCATATACAGAATGTTCCAGAAGTAATGTGATTTTTCTCACAGTGGAGGTTACTTTTAGCTCTTAATATACCCAAACTCATGTAGCATAAAGCCTACATATGTTTCTCAACATGTTAACTCAGTTTTGTACATAATAGTTTTAGCTTTTCCATAGCTGCATACTTTTAACCGGCGACTTTATATACCTTGTGAAATATACTCGAATCTTATTACTTATTCAAATAGAGTAGTTTAGGCTTGAGATATATTTTCAAAGTCTAGAACGTTAAAGTTCCCTGCGTCATGTTTGTTTAAGTGTTCCTGAACAGATCCTCTGTGTGGTGGCTCGCCGGGCGCGGGTCGTGGAATGCGGCGGACAAATATTGGAACTGATAACGCGTATCACTGATAACGTGCCTACATTCACTAGTCATGTTAATGTACATACTACATATTATATACATTATATAACGGAGGTACACATCATAACATATGACTAAATATTAAGTATCGCAATGCATTTATAATAAATTTTATATTAATTTATTTCATCAATTTACCTCACTTCACCACAGTTTTACTAAGCTTATATATTTTTTTTAATATAATCCAACATTGTACTTCTATTTTTAATGTTCCTAATATATTCTTAATATTTAATGATTTTTATATCTCTTAAGTTTAGTAATACATATAATCAGTTGGTTCCAAATGTAGAGCCGTGCAGCAGCAGCACTAAAGATTTTCATTATAAGTCATATCTGAACTAAGGGTGCATCATATTTCCAGCGGGATAATTCAGAGTCCAAGGTCTAACATATCAAATTTCTTTCGTTATATCAAGACGCAACTTTCGCCACAACAAAGGACTTTTCTTGCAAGCACACGTCTTGGTGACGCGTCACCTCGTTTCCTTTAAACAGCAGCGTGGAGACGAAGCGAATAATAAAAAAAAGAAAGTGCCTTTACCGTACGACGGCACACTTACAGACAAACATACATACATACATACAGAACAAAACTCATCATATACATATATATAATGTCTATCGCCCCACTGTACGGACATGTGATGTTATCACCAGTCGTATAGATATTGATTGAATAAATATTATTTTCAAGTGATAAGCTGCGACGTGATAACGGTAACGTCTTCTGATACGATTCCGTGAACATGAATCCTGTACATCACCACAATATGATACATGTATCGAACAATAAGGAATGAGCTTTCATATACCCCAGGAATGATCTGTATATACTGACAGGGTGCGTGTGTGTGTCAGTCATCACGGACAATGGCTCGCCTGTCAGTGGATGTGGCGTCTGGCGACTGACAGGGTCACAGCTTTACGTGACACCGCCACACAGATGACTCCCCCCCCCTCCCCACCCTCCACAGTCCGCGACAGGCCTAACTGAGTGACGTCATGTTGTGTACACTAATATAATTGTCCGTCCTACTGAGACGGGTTCCTACAACGTGATATAAAGAAACATTCCACAACATGGTATATATAATATAATATGCTGACATATACCATCGCTTGTGTGTGTGTGTGCAAGGAGAGCGAGGGTACATCGACCCCGTAGTGACGCAAGATCGACAACTTTCTAATCGGGCAGCGGCACGCAGCGGCAGGCAGCGGCACCGTGCGGGCTACGTCACAGTCAGCAGAGGCCGGGGACGAGCGGGCAGCATACAGAGGACCTGCCAGACACCAGGACTGGCGAACTGATACTCACTACTAACATACAACATCGCACTATGTAGTGGCTTGTCCATACTTTGATGACGAATGTCTCAATGAGTATACGTCTTCCCATCACGATAAAGTTTAACAAACTTCAGATAGTCATCCTATTTCAATATTTTAAAAGTATTTCAATAAAACTTTCTGTTAACGACGTCAGTCAACACGGATCGGTCACTAACAGATAAGTTACGCTTTTGATGTCATAAAGTCAAGCAAACTTTATTCCGACATCGTATATATATGTAAATGAAGCTTTTTATTCTTCATTTAATTTAATAATTATACTTACTATAATAATTTATTATCTATGTATGGTAGCACCACTTCTTACTATAATCTGTAGAAAAAGGCTCTCTGGTTTTGTACGTTTATGTTTAGCAAGATTTTTGAAAAGGAATAAGGATTGTTTAAAATATAAATTGAAGCAATAGCTTTTAATGTTGTTTCTCTTTGACGGTTAGTAAATAACATATTGTTCATTTGTAAATTGTGTTTTGTAAATATTGTATCAAACTTTCAAAAATAAATTTCTCTTTACAGAGCAACAATTACAGTTTTTTATTTCAATTAACAACACATTACATATATTTATACATATGAACAGTCAGAGTTATTATTTGTATTTTTTGTATCTGTTTCAGTCCTGAGAGCAGCGCGGCCTTCAGTGGAACCTTTCTCTTTAAGCACATTGACTTCAAGTACGCTCGAATATTTGTTAAGACCTTCCGAGAGCGAGTCTATCTCCGACACTAAACGCGCTGTGAAGTAACCGCAGCTGTCATAGGAACGGTTTTACTATTAGACATGACTCTTACTACATACAGATCTTGATACTTTATTTAGATTTTATAACAAACAACCTACATACGACTTAACGAAATACTATGTATTAGGTTGCTAATCAGTAATAGTTGTAGCCGTGTTTCACGTCATATAAATATCACAGAAAGGCATACGTTAAGGCATGTGGAGGCGAGTGACAGGTCTGGGTTCGATGCCCGGCCTTAGCCCAGTGGAGTGACGTGAAGGGGCTCCGCAATACTCGGCGGCCGCTCACACACAAGACACGCTCCGCGGACACAACACACAACACATTAAAACACTTTTTGTTACTATGTTATGTGTGTCAAACGATTTTATTCACGCGTTATATAACACGAGTGTGGCAGTCGTTTACTTTCGTCAAATGTTTCGGAGCGTATTCCAATAAAAATTATCGAAAAGGAAATCATGTAGTTTTTGAGGACACGAGTCCGCTCGCTAGTATTTAAATTCGACTTATATTTCCTTAATTACTTATCCTTCCGAGAACAACCAAAATGACATCATATTAAACTCTATATTTAGTCTATATTTATTCATTCTTAACCCGGTCCAGGGCGTCTGTTCAATCTATTATAACAAACATTATTTTTCCTCAACGTTTAACGATTCCTTCAACAGCACGTCATCTGTATTTCAATTCAGTTCACGTATTCACTGTCACACAAACATTGTCATCATTTTTTCTGTCAACCGGAGGCCGGGAATACTTCGAGCGACTCTCCCGTCACTCCGACCTTCGACACATGCAAATCATAAAATAAACAAACGTAACAGTTTCCAAACATGAACCAACATACAACACAGTAATATTTCCCAATCGTTAATTACCGTGAGTAACCTAATGTTTGTCATAGTCACACAATATTCATACCAGTCATTATGACAGTTTGGTTAATTATAAAAACTAATAAATAATTAGTGTATATATTAAATACACGAGGAAGATGTATTGTATGAGGATTTCCATCATATTGTTAATTAGTCAACACGGTACATTAGTGTGATGTGACGAACATGTTATAAGATGTACATACATACATACATACATATATATAATATTGTATATGTAGCCAATAACTCCCCGAAGTATATTAATGAACCAATATTTGACAAGAACTTTTTATTATCCGCTTCTCAATGTGTTTCTAGTTGTGCCCGTTTAAAATGTTTTATGTATCAATCTAATAACTTTGAAAATTGTAACAAAATATACTTTAACGATTCATGATTATTATATCTGTAACATGTTCTTGTATTAAATACAAGTGAGCATTCTCTAAGCTATTAAAGAATTGTTTTTAGGAAAAATCATATGAAATATTATGTTTATCCAAAGATCATTCTGTTGTGCTCCTAGCATATATTACACGTCACATATATGTTAGGCGTATATGTGTATAATGTACTCCTAACATATATACGACGAGTGACCTCACCAGTATATGGTAACAGTTAAAGGTCTCTACTCCATAAACAGAGAACTTGTCTTTATTTAAATCAAACATCAGTTTTATTAGTATGTAGATTTAGGTGATATATTCGTATGGAGTGTTTAGTATAATAGAAGTGAGCGGTGAGTCAGTCAGTGAGTGAGGCTGACCTTGACAGAGACAAAGACACACACACACAGCGCTGTGGCTGTGTGGACACATGGAACTACGAGCGTGTAGTGATACGAGGCGAGTGCAGGGAAATATACGTTCAGGATACCGATATATAGACAGACACGGGTGGCTACATTAGTGTAGCTGTCAAGGAATGATAGATCGAGGACATTAAACAAAAATATCGAAAACGAGAATTTACATACAGATATTACTACATATATAAGTAACTTTGAATTTTCAAATGATACTTGTTATATGTATGTAGGAAATATAAAGTATTTTTAAGACAGCATATAATTAAACTAACTCACATACAATGAGTCTTGTATGGCGCGAAGTATTGATTTAAAAATGACTTCAAATCGATGGTGCCAATCGCGAAATCCAATAGTATAAATTGCGATAAAAGTACACCTTAACAGTCAGCGCAGCGCGTGGAGCATTCAAATCAGATAGACAACACAATGACAAATGAGAATTAATAACATATCAGTATTCAGAGGACGGCTCATGCATACACAACCTTGGAACTGAGGATGATAACATGTGGCCTTGGAGGAAAACACTCACACTACACTACACACGGAGATTACTTAAATAGAACGAAAAATAAACCAGCTGCCCCATGAAAATAAATATACAAAACTCATAATATCTTCTTTAATAGGAAGAGAGTGTGTTAGGAACAGAAGCCAGAGCATACGTATTCAGTAGTTTTGTCATATTTTCTATATTAGCTTATGAGTAACTACAAACAGCGGCTCCTCACGCAACTGATGTTTGACAAGTATACAAAACAAACATACACACGTTACCAATACTTATTATGTTTAAACACTGTGTTCAGGTCTTTGGAAATATCAGGCATTTAGTATTAAAAAAAATATATCATCATCGTCAGCCTATCAGAGCCCACTGCTGTAAGGCCTCTTTCTAACATGGAGAAGATTTGAGCATTAATCACCACGCTTGCTCAAGACGGGTTGGTGATTTCAAACTTATAATTGTGATATTATAAGTCCAGGTTTCCTTACGATGTTTTACTTCATCGTCTGTCAGTGGCGTCTAAATACTCCTAGAAAGTACATATGACTCGGAAAAATCATACTGGTACTTGCCAGGATAGAACCGCGTCCTCGTGCTCAAGAGGCGGGCCCTGTAACTACTGGGCCATCAGTGACTAAAAAATATATATTAAAATGTATATGAGCTCTTTTAATTACAACGGCAGCGTTATGGAATTTAATCGAAACGTCAATTAGCGAAGCGAAGTCTGTACATATGGTTGGTGTGGTTAATGTGAGACACGTTCAATGTATGGATATAATGAACATGGAGAGTGTACATGACTGTATGGTGACGCGGACAACGTGCAACTTACAATATAATTACATCATTATTATATAAAGATAACGGATTATTGCTGATAATAAATACATTGAAATGTATTAAATATATAATACTAGCTTTCCGCCCGCAGCTTCGCCCGCGTGGAGTTCGGTTATAACGCGTTTCCAAGAGAACCTTTCAAAAGTCTGGGATAAAAACTATCCTGTTTCTTTCTCAAGGTCAACTCTATCTCTGTACCATATTTCATTAAAATCAGTTCAGTGGTTCGGGCGTGAAAGCGTAACAGACAGACAGACTGACTTTCGCATTTATAATATCAGTAGCTTTGATTGCATTCATAACAGACGAAGTCGAGGGCAGAGTGTTGTACAAAATATGACTTTACTAACCGCAACATTTAATAAACCCACGCAAGTGATCCTTAATTATAATACGTACATTATAATGAGCTGTTTTATAACACTTCCAGGAATCACTTCATATTTATTGAATATAACTTAAATATACTTTGAAGTCGTGATGAGTAGGTGATGGTGACGTCATCGGGTACAGGAACAGGCTTTCGGGCATCATGAATGTTCTAATATTTTTGTATCAATCATGAACACTGTTCCCTTGTATGACTTCCTTTCAAACCGTTCATAGTACATACATTCTGCCTGATATAATGCGCAGTAAACATAAAAGATAGTTAACTATATTTAGAGTATTCCAAGGGAATTTCATTTCAAACCAATCAAAATACTCTATTTAGATTGTGGAAACTCTCAAATAGAAATTTAAATAATCGTTTTTGAGTTCTGATTCTGCAACTTTTAAGATAGATATATTCGTGTGATTAATGTAAGGTCAGAACAAACTATAGTCAGCTAAATATTACTAAAGACACCAGGGTGGAAACTATGAAGTCCACTTCTTATACATGTTTGTGCAGTCATGTTAAAACCCGTCCGTCACGCATCTGAAGCCGATCGTAATTTCTCCAGCGAGGTCGTCGAATGTCAATGCCAAGGTCGCCGGTGGCTGATAAGCCTCCGTCATGGAGTGTGTTTAATGGCATTCCTATGTTATCGAAGATTGCATCACTCGTACAGAGTCGAGCCACGTGCGAGGATCACGCTCTTAACTAAGCACTGCACCAGACGATGCTTGGAAATATGATACAGATATTGACGAGTTAAAAAGAATCAAGAGAATACTGATTAGTATTTGGAATAATGGCCGAATGTGAGGATGAAGGAGGAGCAGGCGTGATTAGAATCGTGACCGGAGTGTGAACAGAGGAGGGACGTGGCGGACGAACGAAGGCAGGAGATTATAGATGGTACCTTCCTGAACTACGACATGTATTAACACAGATAAATTAACAAACCTAATATTAGAATGTTATCAACAAAATATCCTATCAGCTTGTAATATTTTTATCACTTTATGACTTTTAACACTCTTTAATTGTTTCGAGTCTAGATCATTGAAATAAAAGCTCAACATCCCTACTAATATTACAAAAGCGAAAGTAACTCTGTCTATCTGTCTGTTACGCTTTCACGCCTAAACCATTCAACTGATTTTAATGAAATTTGGCACAGAGATGGAGTTGACCTTGAGAAAGAACATAGGATAGTTTTTATCCTAGACTTTTGAAAGGTTCTCTTGGATACGCGATATAACCAAAATTCACGCGGGCGAAGCTGCAGGCGGAAAGCTAGTATTTCAAAAATACCAAACATATGCGTTGTCAGGAGTGTCTGCGGGCAACATTGAAGGTTTTAATGTGAATAAAAAAACAACTGTCCCGCTACATGTCCTCGGACTTGGAAACGACAGCTACAAGGAAAACATCTCGATAATAAAACGTTACATTATAACTGAATGTATTAACATTCATCACTACTATGAGGAAACAGACGAGGGATTCAAATGATCTTCTAGGAACGGGTGCGGTGAACCACTACATTAACAGTTGATGATAGACACTGCTGTAGGTTAAAAT